CCCACAGCTCTATGTTGACCTTCTCTGCGCTGATCAAAGAACTATTCCAAGTGAACTCAAGTCGTCCTGCCACATTCGGCGTGCCGTAGTATTGCCACTGCGTTGCATTCACCAGGGTAACTTTATAAGCAGGATCTGCTTTACTTGGATGGACTGATAGTTAAACACAACAAATGTAATTGTAATTCACAAGTTGTAGCAACAGTTTTAATAATGTATTGGAAGCAGCATGAATAATTGCAAAATGGGTCTATGTTATTTAATTTTTTCACACTGGCCAATATCTAGTTGGGGAAGTGGGAATTAAAATACTGTATCTGCAATAAAGTCTTCTTTAAATAGCACTTAAAATATTTTCTATAGTTTCTAAATCAACCTAATAGACAGTTAATACCCAAAAAGGTTTAGATATTGATCAGTTTAGAGACAGGACATTAACAGCTTTATATTTCAGCAGCTTACCTGAGAAATACTGTGCAGATCTGTCAAACTTAATGCCATCTGTTGAGACATCAAATGGTATCCAACCCGTCTCATACAACAGAGGAGAAATACAGTATGCACGGCCATCAGCATCAATAAATCCATCACGTAAAATTTCACCTTTAAACCTGCAAAAAAAGAGAACACAATTTATTAGTAACAAGAACTGTGTGGTTCAAATGGAAAACACAAATATAGAGAGACTAGTGAAATCTGACTACAAACCTTAGCTTCCGTTCACGCTTAGTGTATAAACATAAACGCCAAACCTTTCACCTTCACAGTTTAGTAAGCTATGTTAACATCTTAGACCACCTTTCAGCACAGGTAAAGCACTTTCCGCCCCACATTTCCCATCAGTTTTCTGGGATCTGGTTAATTACCCACAATGCCATCTAAATCCTAGTAAAATATCTCTGACCTTAAAATTGAGGATTACACTCTTATACTACAAAAACACACCTGCAGAGAAGCTGCCCATGGGGATGAAGGTCCAATCCGAGGATCCTGAGCGCTTTTCCGCCCAGCATGGAGCTGGAATAAGGCATCACCTGGAAACAGGACTGATTGTAGTCTGCACAGCAGCTCATCAAAGACATACAGGTGGCATGGCAGGAGCACTTCTCCAGTACATCTCCACAGCGTCCCCTGCATGTTTGACCTAATGAATAGTAAAAACAAATATTTGCACTTCATACCTCAAAATATATATCGAATTTATATTACAACAGCACAGCCACATTCCATTACATTACAAGGTGCGGGTAATTTCTGATTAACTGTCTGCCGAAAACCTCTGAAAATGACTTACCAGCTGTGTTATATGAGAAAACAATAAGAAGCCCACTGAGACAAAATATCTTAAAGTTTCCCCTCATCTTTAGCTTGGACAACAAAATAACGTTCAGGCTCCTGCCTGTGTTACACCATCTTTGGCTGAAAGTCTACCAAAGGTCATTTGAGGAAGCAAACAAAATTAAGTATTCGACTTTAGTAACAGTTCTAAATCACGAGGTACTGATTAACAGACGCTAACGTAGGTCTGACGTTTTTATTTATTTTACCTACAGGAAACCAACAAAATGAATATATTCTTCCCAAAACTCGCACTGTCACGTATTTAATTTCATTTTCAGCTATTTAAAGTTACAACTTTAACCGTTAACTCGTGCTTGGTTCACTCCACTAACATATAGGTTTATCCACGCATAAACTCGCGAGATTTTAGGGCGAGCAGTTCGCGCATGCGCACACCTCGCATCTCCATGCAAATGACACGAAATGGGCAGCGTTGGATTGTTGTGTTAAATTAAGCTATATTTGTGTCTGAAATTCGTCCTGCTTCATCTCCGGTCTCCTACGTTTACCGCGATAAC